GGGTTCAATTCCCAACACCCACATGGCAGCTCACAACTGTCTGCAATCCACTTGCAGGGGATCTGACACCCCCACACAGACAAATGTACACATAAGTAAATAAATAAAATATTAAAAAAAAAAAAAGAATACTGGCTGAGAGCTGGCAGTAGTGGCTCACGCCTTTAATCTCAGTTCTCCAGAGGCAGAGACAGAGGAATTCAAGGCCAGCCTGGTCTACAAAGTGAATTCCAAGACAACCAAGGTTATTGCACAGAGAAACCCTGTCTCAGAAAACCAAAAACCAAACAAACAAACAAACAAACAAACAAACAAATAAGTAAGCCTGAGTTGAGATTCTCAGCACCCCTTTAACAGGCCTGATATGGAATCATGTCTCTATAATCCCAGCACTGAGAAGAGTCAGATTCCTGGAGCTCACTGGCCACTCAGCCTAGCCAATGGGTGATCTCCAGACTCAGAGGACCCAGTCTAAGGGAACAAAGAAGAGTGATAGAACAAACACCCAGTGCCCTTCTCTGGCCTTGTGCACACCCCCCACCACATACACACATGCATCACACATATACACAAAAAATTAAAAATTAAAAAATGACCACCTATTAAGGATTTCTAATATGAGGTATTTTCACATATGAATACATTACCAAACAAGTCTATTAAGGAGAAGGCAACATTTGAAAATAAGGACATATCAGAGAATCTTACAAACTGTTGCTTTGGGGCTGGAAAGATGGCTCAGCAGTTAAGAGCACTGGCTGCTCTTCCAGAGGACCTAGGTTCAATTCTTAAGACCCACATAGCAGCTCACAAGTGTCTGTAACTCCAGTTCTGGAGGATCCAACACCCTCACACAGACATACATGCAGGCAAAACACCAACGCATATGAAACAGAAATAAATACTTTTTAAAATTTATAAAAAATAAAAATAAATCTTCAAGAAGAATTGTTGCTTTGGTATTTTATATGTATTTATTATTATTGTGTATCTGGATGTGTGAGGCGTATGCACAGGCACAAGTGCCACAGCGCACACACAGAGATCAGAGGACAACTATCTTAAGGTGAGGTCTGAGAACTGGTATAACTTAGGCCATCGGGCTTGCATGGTTAGACAGCAAGCACCTTTACCCTCTGAAGACATTTCACTAGCCCATCTTCAGCATGTTTTTAAATTAAAAGGACTTTTCATGAACTCCAATATCAAAGAAACATTAAAAAAAAATCTAAAGAAGTTAACATTTAAAGAATGATTAAGCATTTTTCTGTTTTAGCAAATGTCTCATTTGTTTTTCTCAAAGAAACAAAATATGCACTTTCGTGTCAGCACCTTCAACAAGGAACAGGTGCAGTTAGATTCTAGGCTGTCCCCAGAAAAGAGCTGTCTGGTTAAACACTTGAAACATAGTGCTATTTGCTCCGCCTAAAACTTCCTTGTAAGGAAAGGTCCTCCTTACCAGGCCTGGATAGGAGACAGTGGCAACACTGACTCTCCCTCCACAGTCCAGGAAAAACTCAGTCTTAACATTCACAAAACAATCTGCTGAGAGCTTCAGAGTAGCTGCATTCAGGCAGAGCCAGGGACTTTACTCAAGGCAAAAGAGTAGTCTAAGAATTGATTGAAAAAAATAACTTTTGCTTTGAAGTTAGGCAAGGAACAGCAAGTGGTGGGTCACGCCTTTAATCCCAGCACTTGGGAGGCAGAAGCAGGCAGATCTCTGTGAGTTTGTGGTCTACAAAGCAAGTTCCAGGACAGCCAGGGCTACACAGAGAAACCCTGTCTTGAAAAAAACAAAAACCAACAACAATTAAAAAAAAAGAATAAGTTAGGAAAGGAAAAAGGGCAAGATACAACATTAATGTTTTATCCCTTGTAAGCAAAAGTATTTTAAAAAATTCTATAAATTATAAAAATTTAAGATACACTATAAAGTTCAAGATATTGTTGACTTCCTCTGCCTCTATCCAATTTTCCGGGCCAAAAAAAAAAAAAAAAAAAAAGCCATTTAAATCCAACAATTCGTCTTCTCTACACACCTATACCTGCTCAGTTCAATACTAAGGGGAAAAAAAAACAACTCAATTTTGCTGACTAGTGTGACTTTAAATTTAAAAGTCATAACTTAACAATTTATTATCAATTAACAAATTATTGTCAATTAATTTTTTCTTCTTTTTCTTTTCTTTGAGACAGGGTCTCATGTTGCCCAAGCTAGACTTACACTGGTCACACAGACAAGAATGATTCTGGCTCCTGCCTTCACTTCTTGTGATGGGATTACAGGTGCTCACTACCATGCCCAGTTTTATGTAGTAACAGGGCTCACACATGCTACGCAAGCATTCTACCTACTGAGCTGCATATCTAGGCCCCAAAGTCTATCTTTCTCCCAGGTGAGAACACTGCCCAAGGGAGAAAAAACAAATCTTGCACTTAAGAGTATTCAAGTTAAAGCCATCACAAATTCTAGATTGGAAGACTGGGACTTAGCTTTCTCACTGGATTTTTTTTTGAGGGGGAAGGGGAAGACTACTGCTTGAAAAATTCTTCTGAATGTCCAGTAGCAAATGCTCCCAGTTGGAACCCAATTCAGTCCCTATTCAGTAGTTAATACTAAAGGGTCGCTAACTGATTGGTCTCAATGTTTTTATTGGGACAATTTCTAACCAGGGAAAATGCCTCAACTGTTTGCTAGAAAACAAAGGTCAATACAAAAGCACATGGTCTGGGTTTTCTTCATCAGTAGTACTTCAATTCCCAAAAGTAAAAGAGGCACTGGGCAGTGTCAGTGCGCACCTTTAATCCCAGCACTTGGGAGGCAGAGGCAGGCCAATCTGGTCTACAGAGTGAGTTCCAGGACAGGCTCTAAAGTTACACAGAGAAACTTTGTCTCCAAAAACCAAAAAAAAAAAAAAAAAAAAAAAGTCTGGGTTATAACTCAGTGGTAGAGTACTTGCCTGGCACGCACAAAGCCCAAGTCAAAGTTCCAACTCCAGCACCCTCACAACCCCCCAACACACACACACACACACACACACACACACACACACACAATTTTTGAGCACATGCCAAAAATGGAGGGGGGACGGACAGACAGAAGGAATGTAATCTGTGCATTAGCAAAGAAGTTATTGATTAACTATATGAGTCTAACTCATTATAAATGATATACAATTACTAAACAAAGGGCAATGTCCTGTCCCTTTTCTGTACAGAATTAAGAACAAACTGGTAAGACGACTTCATACAGCTGCCAAACTTTTCTTTAGCTTCTTTTCTTACAGTCATGTTAAATTTCGCAATAGCTTCCACTTACTTTACATCCCCCATGTTTAAAAACAAATTGTGTTTGAGTTCCTCAACTCTTGCCTTAAAATATTATGATAGTTCTTTAGTTTCTAAGTCTGGATGCAAAGAAAGCATAGGAAAATGTTCAATTTCCTAAACACTATGCGTCTATTTTATTTACACCATTTAAAATATTAAGAGGGAACTGGGGATGTAGCTCAGTTAGTACAGTGTTTACCTAGCATGCTCAAAGAAAGCCTTGGGTTCAATCCCCAGCACCACATAAACTGATAAACTGGGCATAGGAGTGAATGCCTGTAATTCCCGCACATGGGAGGTAGAGACAGAAGGATCAGAAAGTCAAGGTTATGAGTTCAAAGCCAGTATGGGCTACTTAACACACACACACACACACACACAGCGGCTAAGCATGTAGCCTAGATGGTAGAGTGCTTACCTAGCATGTATAAGACCCTGAGTATTCAGTCCCTAGTACCATATACAATGTATGTGGTGGCACACACCTATAATCCCAGCACTTGGGAGATGGACAAGGGAGGATCAGGAGTTCAAGGTCATCCTCAGTTACCTCAGTTTGAGGTGTACCTGGGCTGCATGAGACCCTAATCTCAATTAATAAATAACAATATATACAAGATAATTAAGACCAAGTTCAATCATCCATTAAATAACTCTTAATGAATGAAAGGGAAAAGCCACATTTAAGGAAACAAACTTTATTTGTTAGTGTTTAGAGATCTATACAGGTTCTACAGAAATCATACTGCTGAAAAATTTTAAACATAGGAAACAAGTTTTCTGAGAAAAAAATCTGCACATCTCCACAAATCTATACTTCATATGAACCCTGAGAGATATTAAAACACCCTCTGCTAAGCAGAAAACAAAGTTAGGAAAGTAGTAACACGGGACTCTGGGTAGGAGGTGCCTGGGTAGTAAACACCCCAGTGAGAGAACATAACAAGCATTTCAGAGCAACATATAAGTCCCTACGGGTCTCCAACTTGGGCGGCCAAAGTCCCAGGCCCACATCCCTGTGTTTTGAAAGAAATAAAACTTGGAAAGGGGAATGCTGGAAAAAGGAAATAAGAGCAGTGTACTACTTTCTTCTTCTCAACCCCTAAGCCAGCATTCTGACTGGCTGGTCACTAGTCTAGGTGCCATATCCACCAAAAACACCAAGCAGTATCCCGACCGACTAAAGACCCAGCCGCTGTCTCTTCTCCAAACATCCCCCTTACCTCTGGACTTCCAGACTATTACCGGGGCGACGCCTTCCAGCAACCCAACCCACCCGCACTGCCTTCCTAAACTCATCCGCTCAGTCTCGCTGAACTCATACTTTCGGAGACCATGTCTCTGCTAAGTCTTAGGAACTCCACCGAAACGCCAGGACCCCCGGCTCCAGTGCTCCACCTCGCCGTGCTTTCCGGCCAAACAACGCATGCTTTCACCTGAGCAGGGCTCTCCTTGTCACCCGGACCTACCTACTGCCCATTACCTCTGCCTTTCGCAGTGCCAAGCCCTAACCCCACTTTTAGGGAAATCTCGAGTCTTCAACCTAGTTGAGCGGTCCTCCTCTTCCTTCCATTCCAGGATCCTTCCCTCGGACTTCCACTAGACTCCGCTTCCCCCAGGATTCAACCCCCCTTTCCTCGCCACGCCCTGCGCCCCCCGGGGCTACTTACCCCAAGTTCTCCCCACACTTCAGTCCTCTGGCCCCGCCTTCCTCCAAAAGGAAGGAGGCGGGAGAAGAGAAGAGGGCGGCACTCCACAAGGCAAAGGCGATCTCCCATTAGCGCTCATGGCCGCCAATTGTGGCTTCCTTCTCTCTTATTGGCTGTCCTTAGACTACGCCCCACCCTCTTCCTCAGACAGGCCCGGCCACCGCCTCAGCGCCCCCGTCCAACACAGACTGGGAGGGGAGACCCCGGCCCGGGACGCTGGGACGGGCCGGAGCGGAAGGGGAGCCTCCTGTCAGACCACGGACCGGCTAAGGTTCACAGGACTCACCCGCTGGCAGCTCCGGCGCCTCCCGCCCGCCCGCGCTCGGTCCCACAATCTGCCTCCTGCTCCTCCTTTCCCCCCTCGGCCGAGAAGACACTTTCCTCCCGTCCGGCCAGGCGTGCTCACTTCTCGCGAGAAGCGGGGGTGAGGGCGCGATTCGTGGGGGCTGAGTTGGACCGGGACCCGGGGGCGGGGCCTGCTGCGAGCGCGGCGTGAGTGGAAGGCTGGGCGAGGGCTGTACACACGACCCGCACGTGTTCGCCCGCGGCATCGGGGCCGGTGGTGAGGGGGAGGGAGGCCGCGTCCGGGAGATCGGCCTAGGGTGTGGAGGTCCGGCGGCGAAGCCGAGGAAGGGGGCGAGGCCGCCTCCGGCGCCCTGCTACAGGAGCGCGCCGGGGCCAAGCAAACCCAGGGTCGGTCTGCAGGGCTCCAGGCCGGTGACTCAGTTGTCTGGAGCGAGTTAACCCGGGTGCCAGCGCTCCAAGCAGGTGGCTACTTCGTATCTTCTTCACGTTTCACGGAATCATCACCGGCCCTGACTTCGGTCCGGCGTCTGGCTGTATGCCGTAGGATGGGAGTATGAGGGGGAGCTGGCGATAAGAGTTCAACTCCAGAGACCACTTTAAAAATAAATATAATTCTTTCCTTACGCTTGTCCATTAGCAGGGGTGGAGTGGGGCGCCTGTGAAGGTCAGAGGACGGGAGGGCTCTCTTCCCCCTGTTGTGTGTTCAGGAGATTGAATGTAGGTCGTCCAGCTAAGACTGGTATGTTATGAGCCATCTCGTAAGGTCAGAAACAGTACACCTTTTTTCTTTTTAAAGTACCAGTTGATACTACTAGTCTTCAGGGTCAGTATTTCCTTAACATCAAAGTAGTTTTAAATGCCCTTAGCCCTGAAACTGGAGGGAATCCATTGGAAAAAGGCAATCCACCTGCTCCACACTGTCAGCGCTGCTTCTCTTCTACAAATCCAATGCCTATGGTGAGATATTTCTCTGAGCCTATACAATGGGCTAGCAACCCCATTTTACTCATATGTGTAATGACACAAAGCAAAGACTGAAAAGATAGCTGAACCGGTGGAGTGCTTATTCCAAAAGCATAAGATCTAAATTCCGTCTCCAGAACCCATGTTAAAAACATGGGTGCTCACCAGCCTAGCGCACTTGGGGCCGGCCAGTGAGAAATCCTGTGTTGAACAAATGAACAACAAAGATAAGGGGGAGAGCTCTGAGGAACCACACCTGAAGTTGTCCTCTGGTCTCTTGGACAACCACACACACATGGATCTATGAACATCACACACACACATACACACAAAGCACTGTAGGATTCTTAGTGTAGCTCAGTGGGAAGTCTTAGGTTGGAGTTTGCACAGAATGGCAGATACTTTTTTAAATCTGTGTTTATTAACCAGCAAGTATTTTTACTAAGACACCAACAGCACATACTATTGTGCGTGTGTATAAAATATAAATTTTAAATATATGTATTTAAATTAAATGTAAATAAATATATATATATATAAACACACAAAACACTCCCAGTCATGTGGAGAAGTGTAGACAGACCTGGTCCTTCTCTGACAGAATTTTTACTTCAGAAAGTGAAGAGTGCTTCAGCGTAGTAGGCAGAAGCAGCTCCAAGAGGGGAAGAAGCTACTGCTAGTTTTAAGAGAAGGCCTCTTGAGAAAGCAGGGTTGTTGTTTTTTTCTTTTATTTTGTTTCTGTTTTTTGAGATGGGTTTTACAAGCTGTCCTGGAACTCATTTTCCTGCTTCCGCCTCCTCCTAAGTACTTGAATTAATTACTGAGCTACATGTTTTGTCTGTGCACTATGTACATACATGGCACATGCCTGTGGAGGCTTCAATAGAAACAAGGTGGAAGAACAGCCAGTCCTCTTAACTGCTGAGCCATCTCTCCAGCCTGAGGAGTTTAATTAAGAGAAAACCTTGAGGAGATTTTTAGGAAAATATCAAATGTAAAAAGCTACATTAAGAAATTATCATAGCCAGGCAGTGGTGGTGGACGCCTTTAACCCCAGCACTCAGGGAGCAGAGGCAGGAGGATCTCTGAGTTTGAGGTCAGCCCTGGTCTACAGAGAGAGTTCCAGGACAGCAAGGACTACACAGAGAAACCCTGTCTGGACAAATAAATAAATAAATAAATAAAATAAATTATCATGAGGAAGAGGCAAACGGATCTCTGTGAGTTTGAGACCAGTCTGGAATAGACATAAACACACACACACACACACACACACACACACAATTATATGGTTAAGATGATAATTTTTTGTGTGTTTTACTGTGGATAAAAACTTAAGAATTGAACAGATTGTAAGTAGAGTTGACAAGTGAAGGGATTCCAGGGCTCCAGACAGATGACTAGTTGTGTTTTCTTCCTTATAGTCAACAGTACCATCGTCATGGCCATAGTCTGCTCAGCATGTGGCTAGAGTAGGGCAGAAGAATCAGGTGGTGGTGGACTCTGTTCTCCCTTTGATGCTTTCCCCCCACTTAGTGCTAGGCACTGCACCAGGGCACATCATACCACGGAGCTGAATCCTGACATCTACCCACTGCCCGCCCCCCTGTTTTTTGAGACAGGGTCTGGCTATCTAGGTGATCTAGAATGTGTGCTCCTCATGCCTCTGTCCAGAGTGCTAGGATTACAGGCACTCCTCACCAGACCTGCCCCGCCTTGCAGTTTTTTGTTACTCAGCTTTCTGAACTTCCTGTCTGTGATCTTATCTAGCCTCTTAGCATCCCCTGAACGGTAGAATAATCCAGGTGATCTCCCTAGACAGCAAAAGCAGGGAAGTAGTTTTTAAAAATACTATTATTCGTGTAAATTGAGAAACGAGAGATTGTTAGCTTCTAAACTGTCTTCTCCTAATCTTCAGATTACAGAATGCTCATTAGATAAGGAAAATTGTGTATAGCAGAGATGGCATCACAAATCAGAAGGGAAGGGATTTTACAAGTTGTACTCAAACACTTGGACATATAATAGCTAACGTTTATGAATACTATTTTCCATGTCCTATTCTAAATGTTTTATGTGTATTCATTTCCCTCCAATTTTATATCATCAATCTATAGCTCTCCTTTGAACTGCAGACTGATATCTCCAATTGCCCACTTAACAAACCCGTGAAGATGTCCACAATTATGTCACACTTACTATGTCTAAAACAAAACCCCTACTTTCTCTCCCACACATGCCCTTTTCCCAATGTTGGTGTAAAAATAAATCACTGTTCTTTTTAAATTTTATTATTAGTGGATGTGATGTGCATATGTGCTGGCAGGTTTATGCATGCCACTACATGCATGTGACATCAGAGGACATCTAATCAATTTTATCCTTCTTCCATGTGGGTCTTGGAGCTCAAAATGAAGTGATTAGGCTTGGCAGCCAGCATACTTACCTAACAAGCCATTTTATTTGCTCTCTTTCTTTGTTTTTAAGACAGAATCTTGTTTTTTGTTTTGTGTTTTTCAAGACAAGTTTTCTCTGTGTATCCCTGGCTATCCTGGAGCTCACTCAGTAGAACAGCCTGGCCTCTGACTCAGAGATCCACCTGCCTCTGCCTTCCAAGTACTGGGATTAAAGGAACGTGCCACCACCACCTGGCTGAAACAGAGTCTTATGTATCCCAGGCTGGCCCCAAACTCACTATGTGTCCAAGGAGGGCCTTGAGTATCTGATCCTCCTGTCTCTGTCTTTGGAGTGCTGTGAGAACACTGCCATTCTCTGCATCAGAAGATGGAGTGGGATGAAGTCTTCCAAGACACTTTCTTTCTAGTATTAGACTCCAGAGTGCCATGGAACTAACTGATAGCAATCATTTTTACCCTGAGGAAACTTCACTGACTGATGGCCCCAGGAATCCTTGCAGTAAGCTTGGGGCCTCCCAAACTAACCTTGACAACCAAGAACACCTACCTCTCAGGTAGACCCTCATTTTAAAGTAGCCAATTACTTATGACACGTTCTCATTCCAAAATATTTTCATTGCCCAAAAGGAAACCCTTAGTGACCTAATAGTCACTTCCTATTTAGCCCCATCAACTCCAGGCCACCACTAGTCTACTTTCTGTCTCTGTTTACCTTTTAAGCACTTTTTATATATGAATTAAATCTTGTAATATGTGGCCTTTTGAAGTTGACTTCTCTTGACATAATATTTGAAAGTTCATATGATAGTGTGTCTTGGTATCTCATTTATTTAATGACTGAATAATATTCCACTGAATGGATATGCCATAGTCTGATTATTCATTCATTCACTAGATGATAGACTTTTAGATTGCTCCCACTTCTGGCCTATTATGAACATTGCTTTGAACATTCATGTGCAACTTACTATGTTTGCTTCTAATACCTAGGAGTATAGTTGCTGGGTCATATAATAAATCTGTACTTGCAGTGGTTTAAATGGGAATGTTCCTCCACCCCCATTTTGAATACCTGATCCCCACTTGGTGGAACTGTTTGGAAAGGATTAGGAGGTATGGCCTTGTCAGAGAAGATGTGTCCCTGGAGGCAGGCCAGGTTTCAGAAGCCCATACCATTCCCAGTTAGCTTTTTCTGCCTGGTACTTGTGGACCAAGATGAAACCCCAAAGTCCACCCCCAGTGACACTTCCTCCAACAATGCCACACCTCCTAATCTATCTCAAGTAGCACCACTCCCTAATGACCAAGCATTCAAATATTTGAGCCTATGGGGGCCATTCCTTTTGTTTGTTTGTTTGTTTTTGTTTGTTTTTGAGACAGGGTTTCTCCATGTAGTTTTGATGCCTGTCCTGGATCTTGCTCTGTAGACCAGGCTGGCCTCGAACTCACAGAGATCCACCTGGCTCTGCCTCCCCAGTGCTGAGATTAAAGACGTATGCCACTACCGCCCAGCGGCCATTTCTATTCTAACCACCGCAGACGGCAAAGTACCTTTTTTTATATTTTATTCGTGTGTGTGTGTGTGT